TACATGTGAAATTTACTGTGTGTAGAATATAAATGTCTTAACGCAATAACTAAGAAAATGCTGTGAAGGCTATGTTAACCAGTTTGATGAAATCATTTCAAATTGTATATAAACCCAGCACATTGTACCCCATGATTGCATTAATGCACACAGCTATGATTTAATTAAAAAAAATAAAGATACAGGAACTAGACATGGAACAGAGCACAGTGTGATTCACACAAAAAAGTTTAGGGAGTGCTCTGCTCAGTAACTCATCTGAGAATAGGCCAGAACTAAAGATTGATGAGTGAATAGGCACTTACAATTTTACGCTTCAGTGTTTGAGGCCTGGTTTTACTTTTTTCTTTTAGGATTCTTCACATGATCATTTTCAATTAATCAACTAACTACCAGTCTGAGTTAGCCAGGACTTCTGTGTTTTCAAAAGGCCAATTTCCCCCTAATCATCTCACAACATCTTAACTTTTGGAGCTAAAAGAGATCTTAAAGATAACCCAATCTGATGCCCTCATGACACAAACGAGGTTGCCTAGGTTTTAAGAGAGGATGTCCATGGTGAGTAGAGGAGCCAAATAAGGGTGTCTTCCATTGCTTCACCTAGAAGGTGGTCCTGTGAGGGCCCACCCCAGAAAGTGGCTGTGGCAGGTGGAATACTGGCTCCCCAAGTGTGTCTATCCTCTAACTTCTGGAGCCTCTGAATATGTTAGTTGACATGGCAAAAAAGACTTTGTGGCTGTAACTAAGTTTAAGGATTTCTAGATGGGGAGATTATCCTGGATAGTCTAAGTAGACCACTCTAACCACATGAGTCCTAAGAAGTAAAAGGGAAGGAAGAAAAGTGGGTCAGAAAGATAAGGACAGAATAAGAGGCAGGAGAAATTCAAAGTGTAAGAGGGTTTGAACCCTTGTAAGTAGAGGGAGGGGAACAAAGCTGAGAAGTGCAGACAGCCCTTAGCAGCTGGCAACAGCCCTCAGCTGACAGTCAGCAAGGAAATGAGGAGCTCAGCCCTGCTGTTAGGTCTGAAAAATTATTCTCCCAAACAGCCCAAACAGATGAATCCAAGACACGCTCCGATGTAAAAGGCAAAAGGTGAGTTTTATTCAGGCCCTGGGAAGCCTGGACTCTCCTCGCATGCAAGCCGAGGACGAGCCCTGAACCCGGGGTGGAGGAAGTTTTTATGGGTACAGAAAGCAAGAAGTAAAGGAAGATTTGCATTGGCAGCTGACGATTTCATTAGTAAAGGTGAATTTGGATTGGTACAGGTGAGGGGTGGGGGGTCCCTTAACCAGGGGCTAGAGTTGGTGCAACCTGATCACCTGTATTTCAAGGTAATAGAAACTTATTGTTTATTATAGTAGCTATTTGCCTAAGGTGACTCAGTTTACAGCGCAGTGGCTGTGCAACCTGGGGTGGGGGAAGGCAGCAGGGAGTGGCCCTGCAGGTTTCACTGGCAGAGGTTGGGGTGGAAGGGCTATGTGGTAAACAGCTAGGAATGGGGCTTGTGCTGTAAACAGCCAAGAATGGAGCTTGTGCTGTAAACAACAAAATGGAGCTAGTTTGGCTCTCACACTGCAACCACAAGGAGCTTTATTCTGCCAGAAACCTGAATGAGCAAGGGAATGAATCCCTTTCTATAGCCGCCAGAGAGGCATGCTGACACCTTGATTTTACCTCTATGGGACCCATGTCTGAACTTTTTTTTTTTTTGTTTGTTTGAGATTAAGTTTCACGCTGTAGCCTAGGCTAAGGTATAGTAGTGCTATCATAGCTCACTGTAGTCTCATCTGGGCTCAAGTGATCCTCTGCCTTGGCCTCCCACACAGCTGAGATTACAGGCATGAACCACTGTGTATGGCCTGATTCCTGAACCATCAAACTTTAAAATAGTAAACTGTGTTGTTGAAGCCACTAAATTGGTGGTAATTTGTTTCAGTAGCAATAGAAAAGTGATACAAATGTGATGGGGACAGACTCTTTCCTTTTTCAGAATATTCTGGTCATCGCACCTGATGTCATAGAAAAGATTCTAGAAGAATGGGTCATGAACAGAGAGACTCTTGGGTGAAGACAAATGGGTTATAGAGGAAGTGGCATCTGAAAAGTCCAGGGAAGGAAGTGTAGGTAGAACAACTTTCCTGTAACAAACACAAGGCCAGGTGGTGGCTGTTCCACTTCCCTCCAGAAGTCACCAAGGGTCTGCAGGGGAGCAGCAGGTTGGTAGGTGGGTACACAGTGGGCAGGGGCCAGAATGAGTGGGGCCATACCCAGCTGCAGGAGTCACTTATCAGCAACTTCACTTAGTGCCCATCTGATGGCAGGTCTGTTGGGATGAGTAGGTTTTGTTCATTCAACAAAGATCCATCAAGCACCTACTATGTACCAGGTTGATTCTAAGTTCTAGGAGTAAAGCAGAGAGCAAAACAGACCAGGTTTCTATATTCCTCATGCTTAGACTCTGGTATGGGAGAGAGAAAATAAGCAAGTGAACAAATACATAACAGGGAATTACGATATTGACTTGTGTTATATAAAGAAAATAAAAATAATCTTTAATGAGGTGGTGGTCAAAGAATCTTCTTTGAGGTAGTGAGCTCATCTGAGCTGAGGTCATGAAAAGCAGAGGAAGCTGGTGGAATGTGGTGGTCAGGGTGATATGTTCCAAGCAGGAGGAATTGCTGGGACTAAGGGCTTGTGGCATATTCAAGGAAAAGAAAATATGCCAGGTAGCTGTGGTGGGGTGGAGATGAACAAAGGAGAGAGTGATGGACATGGAATCAGCCTGGAGAGGTGCTCAGGGGCTATGCCAGGAGGGTCTTGTCAGCCAGGTTGAGGAGTTGGATCTTATTTCACAGTGCAAGGGGATTCCATCAGAGATGACTGATATACTGCATATGAGATTTTGGAAAGGCCCCCTTCTAGCTGCTGTATAAAGAATGGATTTAGGGGAGCATGTTGTAGAGGAGTATAGTTAGGGAACCTCTACCACAGTCAGAGATGGTGGTGGTCTGGACAGGATCATAGCAGAAGAGATGGAGGGAGATGGGTAGGTTTTGGAAGAACAGAGGATATCCCTAATAAATTGGCTGCTGGAGAAGAGGGAGGATGAGAGGACTTGGCATGCCTTTTTTTGAGTTGAGATGGGGCCTGCCCTTTGGGAGACAGATATTGCCTGAAAATATTGTTTGATCTGTTGAAATAAAAACATAGACTTTCCCCATATGTATTGAAATTCAGGTCATTAGCTAAGGATGTGGAGTTCAACCAGAGCTCAGAAAAGTGTCCACAGGGAGTTTAGTACTTTGCACATTTTATTCATTTAATCTTTAAATCAATCCAGTTAGTAAGTACTATTTCAATCTCTGCTAAAGATGAGGAAACTAAGGCACAGAGAGGTTGAATAACTTGTGTAAGATCTCATTTGGGATCACTGCTATCTCAGCCATGGAGGGGTAAAGCTGGGATTTGGACCCAGGCAATCAGGTTCCCAAGTCTGAGCTCTTATATGCTCAGTCCTACTGGATTTTGTATTTGGTGTAATGATAATGTTTCAAATTCATCATGCAGTTTCTGGCCTTTCCTGAAACTCTGGCCTATTGGGGATATATAGCTTACACCAATACCCTGCTGAGTCTGTGAGCACTCTGAGGAAGAAAATGGTTGTAAAAGGGATTATGACAAGACCTAGAATAGATACACCTTCTAGATCGTTTCCTTGCCATTAAACAAAGATAATACCAATTGTGGAGATTTGTATTTGGCTGGGGCAGAGACCAAGGGAATAGCTTGAGTCCTGAGATATAGGCAGGAAAGCTTAACATCCCTTATCAGAGAAGAAAATCCTCTGTGGTAGTGATGAGAGGAAAAAGCCTCTCTCCCACCGATTCCTCAGAGGAGATTAACACCAGCGGTGTTTTACTCCACAGTGAACTAGTGGAGCTTAACACCTCCCTAGGAATCTGTGTGTGTGACTTCAGACAGGAGGCTTCCCCCACACAAAGCTTAAGTTTCAGATGCTCCCAAACTGCTCAATCCTTAAAGTTAATAATAATAATAGGAGCTGATACGCTTACTCAGAGAAACTGCTGGTGTCTTTATTCTCTCCCTCAGCTTACCACTTGGACAGATAGATGTAAAAAAAAAGCTGTGTTGAACAAAGACTCGAGGCCACTCACTGAAACCCACGAATAGGTGGTGATCCCCTGAACGCTCACCTTTTAAAATTCTATTCTGGTCTCCCTTCTCTTGCTTTATTATTGTTCTTAATTTTATATTTCTTCAGTCGGTCACACCAGTTCCACAGGTCTTAGCAGACCCTGCCCCTAGGGCGGGACCTACAATGGGACAGTCTCCAGAACAAAGAATTTTCCAGCCCATGTGCCGAGGTGCAGAACCCCGGGGGTAGGTGAGTGTAGCCTGGAGGCTTATGCATATGCTTTTGAATGGTGACATACAGGAAGGTACAATTAATTGTCTAGTTGCTATATACTGATGGAGTGGCCCACAGGGATGCCAGGAAGAGGTCTTAACTTCTAATTGTGTGAAAGTGAAATGAGTGAGATACAAACCAATGGGTTTTGCTGGAGGGAAAGAATTGGTGATGGTGGTGGAGAGGGGGGAATTCAAGAGTGCAATTTCCATGGAAAACAGGAAGTGAGGTGGTGCCTGTGGCTTAAGGAGTAGGGCGCCAGCCCCATATACTGGAGGTGGCAGGTTCAAACCCAGCCCTGGCTAAAAAAAAAAAAAAAAAAAGAAGAAGAAGAAGAAGAAAGAAAGAAAATAGGAAGTGAAGAGGAGAAGAGGCAGGGTCTCAGTTATCTCAGGTTTGCAGTGACATGGAGCAGAGAATTAGGATAAGAAAAAGTATTGTGGTTATGCCAGGTGAGGTTCCCTTTTTTTCCTTCAGAGACCAGTGTCCCTGTGATATTGGTGGGAATTGTCTGTGACTCCACCCACTCACCTGGCCACCATTGCCCTGTGCTGCTGGATCCTGGAGACAATGAAGGCATCCATGGTTCTCTCCCTCATTGGCTTCTTGGTGGTTCCAAGTGGTGCTCCCATCTTGGGGCGTTGTGTAGTGGCTAAGAAGCTCAAGGAAGGAGGCCTGGATTACTTTGAGGGCTACAGCCTTGAAAACTGTGAGTACCTCTCAGCTTGCCTCCACTCCTCTCCATGCCCTCCACCCCCAACCCACGCACCGCAGCTTTCCTCAGAGCTACATATCTCCTGTTCCTTCATAGGGGTATGCCTGGCTTATTTTGAGAGCAAGTTCAACCCCACAGCTGTCTATGAGAACCCACAGCAAGGGTACACTGGCTTTGGCCTCTTTCAAATCCGCAACAATGGCTGGTGTGGCCGTGGCAAGAACCTCTGTGCTGTGCAATGCTCTGGTAGGTCCTTTCCTTCCATTCTGTGCTGGTGCAGCTGAGGCTGCAGTGCTGTGCTCAGAGGTCTGCCTTCCCAACGGCCAGAGTTTACTAGTTTGGAAGAGGCAAGAGGAGGGTCTGGGAGGAGCTGGAAGTGAACTATATCCAGGAAGGAGGTCTCAGGGAAGCCTCACTTCTCAGGAAGTGAGGAAGGGCTGTGGTGAGTCAGTACATTAGTGATGAAGACCTGCGCCCACATATGCTGGGATGTCTCATCCTGAAAGGTGGGAGCAGAGGGATTCAGCTGGCTTGATTTCACCCACACTTAGCCACCACTCCCTTCTTCAAGGGAGAAGATGCTGTCACTTTGAAAGGCAGAGTGGTCACTGGGAAGAGACAGGAGCTGATCATCCCAAGGAGAGCTTGCCTACTGCTCTTAGGGGTCCCAGATACCTGTGGTCAGGAGAAGGTTGCCCACAATTCACTCATTACATGAGCATTTATTGAGCACTCACTAAGTGTCAGGCTTTATGGAGTTGTCAAGTTAGTGCTTGCTAACTGTCAGGTACTCTTCTAAGCCCTTCACAGGTACTAACTCATCTGATGTTCATAATGACGCTCATGAGGTGGGTACTATTATTATCCCCATTTTACAAATGGAGAAACCGAGGCCCAGAGTGGTAAGTACATGCCCAAGGCCACACAGTTGATGAGTGGTAAAGCCAAGAGACAAACCCAAGCAGTGTGGCTTCCAGGTTGGGCTAAACTAAGAGGCTGCACAGCCAGGCCAGGTCTCCCTGGTGTTGCAGAAGGAAGGCCTAAGCATCCCAGTATCCTCAGGGCCTTCCTAATGAGTAAACCTCCCTCTACCCTAATGTACAAGACAATTCCAGAGCCGATGGCTTCTGAGCTGGGTCTTCAAGAGACAGAGTGCATAGGGTGATGTGAAGGCTTGCAGCCTGGGGAATCACTGCCTTGTGTTGGGCTCCATGATTGGCCTTGGGAGTCTACAGAGGGTAAGAAAGTTTCTGGATTTAAGGAGAGGCAGGAATGGAAAGTAGAAAGAAAAGGCACAGGAACCTGGCAGGAACTTGTGGAAATCCCAAATCCTTCCATTAAGAGCTACATGAGCTTGTGGCAAGTCATTTTCTGGAGCTTCCATATCTGTGAAGTGGGGAATGATATTAACTATTTCTTATGATTGCTGGGAGCATTGAATGGGATAATATGTATAACATGCCATGCAGGGCACATAGTGAATTACAGAACTCATAGTCTAGTTGGGGAGACATATACATTTATAGTAAAATTAAAGCACATTTAAAATCAATTAAATTAATTTAATTTGAATCTTAATCAAATGATGAAACTTTTAGTGTCATCCTGAGTTTCCTGGTAGCCAAGGCAAAAAGAGAAACACAGTAGGCCCATAATTTATCTTTCATATGAATACACACATACACACACATCTCCAGAATCCAGTGGGAGACACATACAGTTATCTATCTGTAACAGAGTTGGTACTGTATGTTATGACGAAAATAGGGTGAGACAGATACTCTTAAACATTTTCCCACTAGGTAGAATGTGAAAAAGAACAGGGAAAAGCACATATATTTTAAAGTACCTGATTTAGTTGGCAAGAAAGTAAGGAAAATCCCTATAGGGTAAAAAGGGGAGTAAGAATCCAGCTGGGTGAGGATTGAAGCAGATAATGATCTTGGGGTATCAGCTGATTCTCTGCAGTTTAATGAAATAAGGTTTAATAGCTGCTATTCAGGCAGGAACTGAGCAGGTGAGGAGGTCAATGGTGACGCCAGAGGGCTGCACTGTCAGGTGAGAGGGATGAGCTAGAAAATCCCCAAAGCAAAGAAATTTTAAGTAGAGGGAGAAAACCACCTTCCCTGGGAATATGTAACAGCAAGCTGATAGGATTCATAAGGAAGCAAGTCACCATGTGGAGCTGAGTATTGTGGTCTTGCTCAGAGAAATCATGTGCTTTTCCTGTTAGGCAAAGTGGGGAACAGAAAAAGCATAGGCTTTGAGGCCACACAGAACCTTGGCACCATCTATTACAAGTTACAGGATTTGAGCCTCAGTTTTCTTTAAAACAGAGATAATAACAATATCTACTTCACAAGCCTTTTATGAGTTTTCAGTGCACTGCAGTGTATGTAAAGTGTATACTGCCTGGTGCCAGATGGATGGAACTTCCCTTTGTTTAAAGAATTTACAAGAGAGTCGGGGATTAGGACGTACGTATGTATGTACATAACAGATGAGTACTAAATCAAAGTGGCATTTTATTCAGAAGATGGGAGATGGTGGGCTAAGTGGTCAGTAGCAGACTTTTAAGGACTGGGCTGCTTGGATGAGCAGATCCAGGTTGGGAGATGAGCATGGACAAAGTCTTGGAGGAGATACTTCCTTTGATCCTTAAGCTGTGTGTGTCACGGGCAGAACACACACCTCCAGGGTGGGCAATGTCTTTGTCTTCTGCCTTGGATGTGTCTTGTATGGTGGGGTTGTGGAAGGAAGCAATGGGAAGTAGGTTTCTAGAAATGGAAAGGTATGTTGAGCCCAACTGAACCAAGCTAAGGATTTGAGGGTCCATTTTATAGGCAAACAGGAGGCACGGACATTGTAAGGACAAGCATTCAGACTAGAGAAAGGAGAGACTAGTGTAGGTAAAAAGGAGGTTATTGCAATAAGTGGGAGGGCTTAGTTTCCACATTCCAAGAAGGGAATGGAAGGCTGAGTGCATAGACTCAGTTGCTCAGAGGGATCACTGAGCCTTCCCATGTGCTGTTCCCTGTGCCTAGAGCAATTTTCCTCCTGTGACTCTTTCAATCCCCTTTACTTAACCTACTTCTTTAGATGTCACTTGGCCCAATAATCCTTCCCTAACCTTAGGTGCCCCTACTAAATGTCTCCTCATCAAGCTGCTTTCTCCCATCATCCCAGGTGTGTATTGTATCATAGTTGTCCATGACTCTACCCAATTCCAGACTGCAGGCTCTGTGATGGCAGGGTCAGGTTTGTCTTTCTATTTCCACTGCTTCATATATTGCTTAGCACAGAATAAATAGTAAATGTATACATACATCTTAATGGAAAAATTATTACAAGAATCACAAGAAAAAAAATCTATGAGTTTGGTAAAAAGATGACTAACTCCTGCTACCTCCTAAGGTTGTCTAAGAAAAATCTAGGGATAGATTTCTTCTTCTGATTACACAAAGCCTCTCTTGTGGGAGCACCCTGTACCCTCCCTGACATCACTCTAGCTTAGCTGTGACATGGTGGCATGATATAGTCTATTTTCTCCGTAGCTTTACTGAATCCAGATTTAAAGAAGACAATTGAATGTGTCAAGAGAATTGTAAAAACGAAAGATGGGATGGGATCATGGTAAGTGGTACGTTTTTATATAGCCTTTATTAATGACTCTCCCCCATTATCTTTACTCTTTATCTTGGCCAAGTCTTAGCTGGTCCACACCTGCGCTCCTACTCACCAGAGTAAGTGGTAAAACCTATGGAGTTCCATGACCTCAGGCCATGCAAAAACATAAGTAATTACCAGACAAAGTACCTTGACTTGTACTTTTAAAATTACAAATCTTGTTTAGGATTGTATAGAATTCTGGGATAAAGTTCCTTAAAACACATTTCTGTGTTTATTGTAATAATAATATCTGTATTTTGTGATAATTGCTTATTTCTTTCATATGAATTCCTACAAGTTTTTTTTAATATTGTTAAGGTTCTTGATACATGTTGTGAAATGCCTTTCCAGCAACCTTGTACCAACTTAATATATATATATGTGTGTGTGTATATGTGTATATATATATATATATATTTTTTTTTTTTTTGGAGACAGAGTCTCTCTGTCTCTCTATTGCCCAGGCTGAGGTGCTATGGTGTCAGCCTAGCTCATAGGAACCTCAGACTCCTGAGGTCATGCAATATTCCTGCCTTAGCCTCCCAAGTAGCTGGAACTACAAGTGTGTGCCATGATGCCTGACTAATTTTTCTATTTTTAGTAGAGATGGCGTCTCACTCTTGCTCAGGTTGGTCTTGAACCTATGAGCTCAAGTGATCCTCATATGTCAGCATCTCAGAGTATTGGGACGACAGGTGTGAGCCACTGTGCCAGGCCCCAGTTTCAATTTCTCTAAAGAGTTTAATAAAATGTCTATTTACTGTACCTTAATCAGTCACAAAACCTTTGCCATTTGAAAGGTAAAGTCAATTTTGACTTCTTTTGCCTTTATACTATACCATTAGGGTATTTCCCCCATGTTTGTTATATTTTGATATTCTTACATGATTTTTTTCCTATCTCTGTCTATTTTTTAAATTCAAGTTGTAATATTGATTTGAAAGAGCTCTTTATATATCAGCTATATAATTGGTTACTATATAATTTTTGTCTGAAGTAACTGCAACTCTGATTTCCTCTTTAGCCAGATATTTGTTTAGGAAAACCTTCAAAAATTTACCAATGAGCTTGTATATGATTTATTTCACTCAACATTATATTTGTTCATGTTATGTATAGTTGTAATTCATTCATTTTCATTGCTGTATAGTATTCTATTGTATTAATATGCCATACTTACTTATTCATTCTTTTATTGGTGGACATTTGAGTAGTTTATACTTTTTTAGTTTTGCTCTAAATGTTCTATTATTTCTCTTTTGGTGAATAAATAAATATCTTTCCATTGATTATATAGAGAAATAAAATCACTTACTATAGAACACACATATTTTCAGATTTTCTAAAGAGATTTTTATCAACTTATATGGCCTTCAGCAGTTATAGGTTTTAGTTGCTCCCCACTCGCCCCAATGCTTGGCATTTTCTAATTTATGCTTAGGATTGTGGAGTGGTATTGCATTATGGTCTTACTTTGCTATTTGCCTGGTGACTAATGAGTTTGACCACTTTTCAAATATTTATTGGCCATTTAGATATTCTTTTATGTGAAGTGCCTTTTCAAATCTTTTGTCAATTTTTCTATTGTGTTGTCTTTTTCTTATTAATTTGTAAGAGATATTTGTATAGTCTGGATAAATGTTTTCTGTTGGAGACATGTTTTGCAAACATCTTCCATTCTGTGGGCGAACTCTTCATCTTTTTGATATGATGTCTTGATAAACAGAAGTTGTTAGTCTTAATTTAGTCTAACTTATTATTACTTGGTATTTAAAGTTATCTTTTTTCTATTAAATGATAACTATGTACTTTTTTTGTTTTTTTTTTTGTTTGTTTTAAAGTTATCTTTAAAAAATATCTGCCTAGTTCTTGGTCATAAGAATATTGTCCTTTTTTGTAAAAGTTTTATTATTTACTTTTCATATTTGGTTCTACAATACCCTTTCTTTTTCTTGCCTTATTACATTGGCTAGGATTGCCAGTAAATGTTGAATAGAAGTGATGATACTGGCATCCTTGTCTCATTCCTAGTTGGACAGATAAGAAGTTCAATATTTTATATGATGTTTTCTTCAAGTTTTCTGAGATACACTTAATCAGGTTAAGAATGTTCCTTTTCACTTCTAGTCTGTTAAAGGTTTTTAAATCATGGATTGGTTTTAAATTTTGGTTATTTTCAGTTTTTGTTTTGTTTTGTTTTTTATAATTCTGTGATGGCTTATACAATTTCCTTTTAGAATTCTACTTTGTCTTTTTAAATCTCTCTTCTCTCCCATGGCTTATCCAGAGGTCATGTTTGTTAACATCTTATTGAGGATATCAATTTTCTGAAATTTCCTCTGGATCCTGTGTAGTATATTATTTCCTGAATAATGTTTCTCTAAACTTTATTATGATGCCCCTTTTCTTCTTGTGATATTTCCTCATATACTCCATGTTAGTTTTATTCTATTACCATTCCTTAAATAAGGACAGATTTATCCATATTTAGTATTCACCAAATAGATAGGTTGAAACAAGCTTTTTATTATCTTTGCTCACTACTACTTGGATGATAGCCAAACCCTTTTCTCAGATGTTCATCTAGGGTATGTCACTGTTCACACCTTTGACCCAATTTGGAGATTCTGCTGGTATGAGTGTATGGTTCTTTCTGATAGGCTGAGCAAACAGAATACATGAAAATCCTTCAATTTCAGCATGTACTGTTACCACCTCCATCTAGGTCATTTATCATGGCAGGCCTGTCCACTATCCAATGGACACTTACCACCACAAATATACACCTTTCCTTGCCTTTTTTCACCCTATCTCACATCTCATGATTGCTTGCCTGGTGGATTCTGGGAATTATAGTCTCTAGTTAGATCATATTTACTTCTGATGGTACAATTTTTCAGATCTTAATATTTCTGAAATTAGGCTTTATTTTGCAATCTATATATCCTACACCAAGGTTATTACTAAATCCTTGATGAATCTTAAAATGGAAGGTATTTTATAAGAGAGAAAATCCTTTAATGATAACTCCAATTTCTTGATGGCTTTAATGTATAGGCATTGTATATTTACATAGACGTCATCACTTAATCCTCACAAATCTCTCTAAAATGAGTATTCTTATCTTCATTTTATTTTTTATTTTTATTTATTTGTTTTTGAGACAGAGCCTCAAGCTATCCCCCTGGGTAGAGTACCGTGGCATCACAGCTCACAACAACCTCTAACTCCTGGGCTCAAGCGAGTTTCCTGCCTCAGCCTCCCAAGTAGCTGGGACCACTAGACACCTGCCACAGCGCCCGGCTATTTTTGGTTGTAGCCATCATTGTTGTTTGGCGGGCCCGGGCTGGTTTCAAACCAGCCACCTTAGGTGTATGTGGCTGGCGCCTTAGCCACTTGAGCCACAGGTGCCAAGCCCTTATCTTCATTTTAAAATAAGGAAACTGAGGCACAGAGAATAACTTGCACATGCCCACAGCAGTGGGATCAATCTTGGATCTAGGCTATTCTAAATCTCAGCTATCACCAGGCTACTCAAAAAGATGGGGATGGTTGCATAGAAGATCTATACTCCGGCTGTATAGAAGGGAACCAAAGAGCAGCTGTTCAGAACTCCTGTGGGTCCAGACTAAGGGTTTCAGAGCTGGGCCAAACAGTGGGGAGGGATGGATCTGCAAATGGACTCATTTCATTACCCTCGAGCCCTTCAGGCAGTGGAGGCTTTGTCCAGAATCTGGCGCAGGAAGTGTGTTTTAATAAGGGGTTAGGTCTTTTTGTTGTTGCTTTCCCCCCCTTTTCTGTCTCTTTAAGGTATTTTGAAACTAAATTCAACCAGAGATTGCTTTTCTTGCCTTTGTATCTCTAGCATCTAGCTCTGTGCCTGGCACACAATGGTTGTCCATTACATATTTGTTGTAAAACTAAGGCTGCATTTTAAGCCCCTACCCCAAAACCATTCATAACATCTTTATTTTTTTAATTCACTATTATTTTTAAATAAAAAATATACTTTTTTCTTTAAGCAGTTGCCTTCACAAAGTTACCATTGGTAACACATCAGGGAAAAAATGCATGCATGAATTTTTTTTTTTAAGCTAGTCAAATTTAGCAGTGGGGAGTGAACTGTATTTTAAAACACACGTGGAATCCCAACATAAATAGTGACCTGCACCTTGCTTATGAATCTTGGCTACTTAGAGGTCTACTTAAAGGTGTTCGCATTCTCCATAAACCGCTACTTAGCGTAGCCCTCTGTACAGATGCTCAGGAAATTTACCTGCCAGTCCTCTGCTGATAAATGCTTAGGTTGTTTCCATTTTTATTGCTGCTGCTGCTGCTGTTTCAATACTCTATCATAAGCATCTTTTAGAATTTTTATGTTTTTTCAAGGGTATCTTTAGGGAAATCCCGTGCAGGGATTTGTTGGGACCAGGCAGTACATTTAGGGTAGTTGCTAAATTGCCATTTGGAGAAGGGGCACCTCTAGGCTCCTTTTGCCATTTGCAAAAGGGGACCCCTTAGCTAACCAGCCTAGGGTGTTAAAAACAATGCAGTTTGGGGAAATTGAGACATACAGAATATTTGCTTTGCATTTTTTTTTTTTTATTGTTGGGGATTCGTTGAGGGTACAAGAAACCAGGTTACGCTGATTGCATTTGTTAGGGAAAGACCCTGCTTTGCATTTTTATTTTATTTATTTATTTATTTTTATTAAATCATAGCTGTGTATATTAATACTGTCATGGGGTACAGTGTGCTGTTTTTATATACAATTTGAAATATTTTCATCAAACTGGTTAACATAGCCTTCATGTCATTTTCTTAGTTGTTGTGTTAAGACATTTATATTGTACATTTAGAAAGATTCACATGTACCCTTATGAGATGAACCATAGGTGTGATCTATTCATGTGGCTATTGGCCATTTTTTTAACAACTGCTTGCTCAATTCTTAGCACGTGTTTTTATTGGATTTATACTTTTTTTCTTCTTAATGATTTTCTGTGTCCTTTATAAATTAGGGTTATTAGAACTTTGCTTGTCATATCTGTGTGAACTATTTTTTCAGTTTTGTTACTTGTGTTTTGAATTGTTTTCATCCCACGAGAGGTTTACAGTTGCACAGAATCAAATTCCTCAGTTTCTTCTCTTATGGGTTCTGGGTTTATATGAAATCTCCTTCTTAGAAAGGTCTTTCATAGTCCAAGGTTGTAAAGAAGTTGAACCATGTTCAGTGCTGATACAAAAATCAGTGCCTATATCAAATTTTTGTTAAATGAATTAAACTTTTATGATTTCATGTTTTTATGATTAAAATTGTGATCCTCCCAGAATTTATTTTGATATAAAAAGTGAGATAGGGGTTTAGTTTTATGTTTTTTCAAATGGCTTCTTATTGGTCTCAACACCACTTAGTCATTAACCTATTTCGCCACTGATTTAACAGATTGCATTTTAATGTGAAAGTCCCCTTACTAATGTTAACTGTTTTTTGCAATAACTTTCATACATGGCCTTGACTTTCCAATTAATTTGGAAGCTTGTTTGCCCCTCTCTAGGGTAAGCACTAATGAGCTAAAGTCAGCCATGCTGTGTGGCGCGAAGTAGAGATATGCGAAGCCAGGCTGATTAAGGCCTTCTTACTTGCTTAGGTTCCCAGTGCAGTGAGCTCTTATTAAGGTAATAGGCAGCTCTGTCTCCTCCAAAGCTCAGATGGAGCAGCTCTGCAGGATTGGGACAGACAGGAAAGAAGACTAAGACCCTGAAAGCCCTCAGGAGTCCATTCTGCAATGCCTGCACTGGGACTCTGGAGATCCTTGGAATTTCTAAAAATGCTGTACTTTTATATGTATTTTCCCTGATGCTCTATAGCTATGAGGGATCAGGGAACCACTGTTCCTTTTGCCACTATGGGACCCCATACCCTAGAGGACCCATGGAGGCTTGCCCAGCTGAGGGGTGGGACTGATGAGACAGGATTTCTAATGGCCTATAGCTGTGATGACTCCCCCAGTCTGTAGGCAGGGAGAGACCCTGAGGGGTAGGTGCTAGTACTGGGACTGGAGCACCAGGAGGAAAGGTTAAACTCAGTCCTGCTGTTCCAGGCAGGGTTGAAGAATTGGAAGGCAGCTTGGAAGGTGAGGAGTGAAGCAGGCATGTGGAAAGGTGAAGGGGATCCTGGATACGGGGACAAGGGTTCTGACTTTAGACTTAGGGTTTGCCAAGGACTCACCATGTGTGTGACCTCAGGCAAGACACAGAACATCTCCGAAGCTCACTTTTGAAAAGCTAGTGATCCTTCTCTTGCAGGATTGGAGGAGAATTTCACGGTTCACAGCTTGGCCTCCCCATCTCACTGAGTGGGTTTATGGACAGAGTGGTGGTGCTGTGGGCATCCGGATAGGTGAAGCCCCAGTATTCATTCCAGGATGTGGGGAGACAGCATTGGAGGTGTGCAAATAGCTTTCAGAATCGTGCCCACACCAGGGTGCAAACTGAAACGCTCCAGGGGTCAGGCCAGAAGCTGGCTCTGGGCTGTGAAGCTCTGCAGATCCCAAGTTCTGACTTTAAGTGGCCCCTCCTGTTTACTCTCCCCTGCCTTCCTCTCCACAGGCCCTCCTGGTCCCACTTTTGCCACTACTCCGACACCTTGGCACGGTGGCTAGATGGTTGCGAGCTGTAGCCACCTGAGTGGTTCCCATAACACTTACCAGTTGCATCTTACGAATGAAGGTGCTTTTCTGTTTGCTGCTTCGGTCAATCCTGTTGATTATCTCACCACTTGATGGCTCCAGAAGGAAAAGGATCAAAGTTTGCTTCATTTAGGGATGTGGGAATAAACCAAGTTTGTTATTCAACCTGGGCCAAAGGCTTCCGCTTGGATGATTATTATACATTATGATTGCTACTGTGATCACTGTTATTTATTTGCCATTATTATGATATATTATTATTTAATCTTGGATGGAGGATTTGAAAGAAGGAAACTATCTAGAAAACAAGATATATCTATGCACATCAGTATTAAATAGGGAAGGGAAAGAAAGATGCTGTGGAAACCAAGAGGAGTCAAAAAAGACAGGAAGCAAGGCTGGTCCAAGCAGGGCCTCCAGGGCCAAGGTGTGTCCACGATGGGACTCTCAGATGGAAGTGAGGTGATCACAAAGTCCTTTTTGCATTTCTGTGGGGAAAATCGAGAGACAGTTGCTCGTTTCTTATAGAAAGTTAAGTTTTTAAAAATTGTAAGTGACACATACATTAGAGAAATTTTGAAAAGTATGGATACTTTAAAAAGGAGAAGAATCCTCTCTTGGTCTCAGTACCCAAAGACCATTGCTGTTATACTTCTGGATAGGGTTTTTATTCTTTTTCAACAATGCTGTCATAATGCTACAGATAGAGAGTTTGGTATCTGGCTTTTTATAATAGAAAGAAAGCGAACAAGCATTTCCCCTCTGTTTCTTTTGATTTTAAGCAGAAAGGAGTATTTCAGGAGTGTACTGGTTTCCACGTGCCTTGGGTGGAATGGAGCAACAGGTATGAGCCTGGGCTTCCTGGATACACCTACCTGAGACCCGGCAGCAGAGGTATCTGCTCATCGGGTCAGGTTGCCGGTGGGACCCATGCCATAATGAGGTTTGAGAAACAGCTCTTAGCCTTTCAGCCCTTGTACGGGAAGAAAAGAACTGGAGTGGCATCAAGACACTCTGTCTGTAGCATCTGCTTCAGTGTGGTAGTAGAGAGTCTTCAAATGGAATTTTAGCACCAGTTAATATTCCAGCGTCTGAATGTACCATATTTTATATAACTTTTCCCTACTGTTAGATTTTTAGGTGTTGCCATTTTCAAAACATTACAAAGAATACCGAGGTTCCCGTTGGGGCCTGCTCCTTTAAAACATTTTTTTATATTTACCAATTACGCAAACAAGCTGGGCACAGTGGCTCATGCCTGTAATCCCAGCACTGGTGGATTGCCGGAGCACACAGGTTGTAGACTAGCCTGAGCCAGAGACTTCATCTCTAAAGAAAACTTGGAGAGTATAGGTAGTATACTATACTATATATAGTAAAGAAGGAAATTCAAAGGCCCATCATCTCCCACTGGGAATGGAAGTTTGCATCAATCTTACGTAGCTGAAGTTGGGGACCCTGACTTAGAGATGGCTAGCGTTAAACTTTGGATGTGTGTCCTCCTTTGCTTTATTGTGTGTGTGTGCATTTCCCCCCTTATAGACATGGACTACTACTAAATATACAGCTTTGTATCTTGCTTTTTTCATCCAATATTTTATGGTCTAATATTTCCAGGTCTGTGCCAGGGGATCTCAGCACCATTTGAGTGACCACACAGACTCACATTACATGGGCAAGCTATAAAGTATATAACCCTTTATTGTTTTCACGCTGGAGAAAAATTAAACAAGTTAGGTGCATAGAGATCGTTTAAAGGCAGGCAAAGCTTAAGCAAATCAGCTCTTTTTGCTTGTATCTTATTCACTTTTAGGAAGGAGAAGAAATGGCCGTAAGCCAGAATTTCAGGGGCAGAACTTTTTTCTCAAGTTCGGTAATGATTGAGCAATGTAACCAAATGGTTTTGTGTGGTTTTCCCTTCTCTCCAGAGAAAAGGGTATTTGATACTTCCCTCCCACACAGCATGATTTATATGGCAAAATTTCTGCTAGCATCACCTCTTTTTGTTGAGATCAGTGAGAAGCTGTTGAGATCTTGGGAGTAACTTTTTTATTGAGTGGGAATCCCACACTGTTTCCGAGGGGGTGGGCTTAAGAGTGATAACGAACATGACCTCAATCCGACCTCAACCCAGAATTAATGACAACCCACAGTTGATTAAAACACTATCTACTCAAGCGCCAAATCCAGCGTGCTGCCGCCTCCTTCCAGCCCATTACTTCTGCTGCAGCTCATCATCCCCTAATGGCCACTGTGTCAACATGGGCATGAGGACAAAGCAAATGTTAGTGTATTGATTGGAACAGCCAGGCTTTCCCAACATCATCAAGTGCACTGATATTGGGCATTACAATGAGCGTTTGTTCTGGGGAGACATTTCCTTGTCTGGTTTACAGAATGATCAAGACTGGATTAGCAACTAAATCTCAGTAACAACAATCCCTGTTATTATTGCTTCTATAACTAGATGCTACCACATTAACTCCAATTTTGTAAATATTACACAAAGACCTTTGCATACAGTATTTTCAAACCTTAGAAAAGAAGATAGGAATAAATGATAACCATATCACCAGTGGGATAACTGAGGTTTGGAGCAGCTAAATAATTTGGCTTTATTCCACTCTGGCAAGTCATGAAGATGACATGGGTATCTCCTCAAACCCATGGCTCTCATACATAGCCTGCCTCCAAACCCTGGTGCTGTATTGGCATTAATTTTCCATTCTATTCATTAGCTAGAAAATTGGGTCTCCAGCCTTTTAATTAAGATGTCAGTTGAAGAGGTATTAGGCATTTAGCATGAGATATTGGGTCATTGCACAGTCCCAAGGCTGGGAGATTGAGGTAACTTTCTCAACTGCATAAATCAATAGAGAAGACAGTATAGTGATCTGCAGCATTCTAAACTTTTGTCATGAGAAAATTCACCTGTTAAAATTCTGTTCCCTGGGCCATTCTCCAGATGTACTGAATCCATATCTCCAGCAGTGTGGCCCAGGAATCTGTACTTTAAATGTGTATTCAGATACATCCAATCTTTGGGAAATTTGGGAGAAACTGATGAGTGCAAAGAGCACAGGTTTGGGAAGACTCAGAAGCCATAGAGATCATACCTGCCTCTGCTACTTATAGTCAAACAACTTAACGTCCTGAGCCCCATTTTTCCAGTCTGCAGACCCCAAAGGACCCTGGCTGGGCCTGCCACACAGTGGCACTGTCACAGGAGTGGCAGTAAGGCCATTGGCTTCTGATTCCCAGGCTCTCCAGCGCCATGTTAACTTGACCAGTAAAAATTCTGCTATGGAACTGCCCCCAGGAGGGTCTGGGGTGGTGGTGCTGGGGCACTGCTCCCTGGTGCCACGTGTATCCTGCAGCTTAGCCTGGCCACGTCAGTTACTGGAGTAAGAAGATTGCTTCTCACTCACCCTCAGGACACTGCTTTCCAGAATTCCCTACAGTGGTGACTGGTCCCTATGTGCTTCTGGAGCTAGAGGCAAGCTAGGCAGCCCCTCATTGCTGCCTCCTCCTCCCTCCTTAAAGTTCCTGAGCTCTGTTGAGGTCCGTGCTTCTCTTCACTCTCCTGTCCCTGCCTCTCATTTACTGAAGGGCTCCTAAAGCACTGATTTTCTACCGCTAGGAGAGTCATCATTTTCAGTGGCTTTAGTGGTTATAGAGATGAGCCACCAGTACCCTGGCAAGTCAGTCCTTGAGGTTATAGTCTGCTGAGTTCCACCATCTCCCTTCAGCTACCACTCCCATGGCCATACCTTAGCCTTGTCATTACTAGTGACTCCACCACTTTAAAAACCTCAATTCTAAGAACCCATTCTTTGAACACAACCTCAAACCTTTCCATTGCATCCCTTGAACAGTTCTCTGATGCCAGAAATTCTTTAACTCCGCTGGGGTCTGTGAGGATTGACCATCACCCTTGCAGCATCCCTCACCTCCCTTATGTCCTCACTTCTCTCTTGCCTTGACCTAGATCCCAGAGCGGCTGTAATGATGGTGTCACGCGTGCATCCTCATCTCCGCCTTGCCTGCTCTCCTCTCTCTGACATATTTACCTGGGTGCCTGATCCCGCTTAAACCCAGCTATCTACCTGCTCTGCCTTCGCACCCCAGTAGCTGTACAAATTTACAGAAGAAAATAACTCCACCAAGCTGTGTTGACTGGTGTCACTTTAAATTTTTGACAACCATTATCAAGGAGGCCATTATATTTCCAATCCCTTAGGTGACTGCTTCACACTCAAGCCACTCTGAGTCTCCAACACCTCCTCCCTCACCCACCGTCTTAACTGCTCCTGCTGCTTCCTCTTTATTGAGGAAACAGGAGCATCATATAAGACCATCTGCAGCCCAGGCCTCCCTCTGCCCACTTTGCTGGGGGATGAACTGTGGATGCTCCTGTCCACCAGCCTCTCCACCTGCTGCCTGGATCTCACCCCAACCCCTTGCCTAGTCTCGGCTTGACAAGAGACAAGTGATAATGTGCTGTCACTTTCCCCTCCTGGCTGATTGCTTGCACCATCATAAAAACACATTGTAATCTCTCCCAGCCTCTGATTTCCTGCCATTTCCTCAGCAGATTCCTCAAAAAAATTGGCCAAGTTCCCTCTCTTCTCTGACTTACTTTCCCATTCTCTCTCGAGTCCACCTCACTGGAAGTACATTTGTTACAGTCACCACTGACTTCGTATTGCCAGATCTCATGATCAATTTTCAGTCTACACCTTCACTCTCAGTCGCACTGGGCACAGTTGACCTCGCCCTCCTCCTTAAAACACTTAACGCCTGTCTTTTTGGCTACCATACATTCCCAGTGCTTCTCCCACCTCCCTGGCCATTACTCCTTCACCTCCTTTTTGGTGTCCCCTCTTTCTGGTCAATGTTGGGGGGACCCAGCTTCAGTCCCTAGGCCTCTGTTTTCATATACAACCATAATTTAAAATAACTTCAGTATGTTTATGAATTCCAAATATAG